GAGGTGCTTGTCTGGTCTTCTAAACAACGGGAAAACTCTAAAAATTAGATCTGCCCAGGTCTGCTAGTTGATGAAATCATTAAACGAAGAGATAAGAGGTACCATAGTAATACCTAATGAAAGGTGAATGAATGTAAAGACGAATACTAAGGGTAATATGAATAGATGCAAAAAAAGAGAAATGCATTAAAACAAGTCACATTGACGAACTAGAAGATTATGTATGCATGGGAGGAGAAGAAAAAACTAGAATGGAATTATGAACATTCGTGCAATCTATATATGAGCCAATTGCAATTTCATTGTACCGTTACGAGGAAAAAATGAGCGAAAAAAATTTTTTGACTGTAAAGAAACTAAATCGTACATTTCATTGTACTATATGAGAGGAGAACAGGAAATAAAATTCCCGACTGTCACTATCAAGATGGCTGATATTGGAGAGTTTTTCGAAATACTTTAGAAATCTTCGAGGTTATGTGTGGAAAAAGCTTTTGGTATGACACAAAAGTACAAGTATGATACACCATCCGATAGATCTCGATGCGACGGACGCAATGGTGTGTATCACATCCTTTACTGACGGATCTGGTTCGGCTTGTAGCTGAAAAACTTTACATTTAGTGTGAAAGTACTCATCCAGCAGAATAATGTAAGTTAGTGGCATTATGTTGCATTATTCGACTTTTTCTCGACGTTATGGTGCATTCATTAGCGCAAAACCGACTTTTTATACGGGGAACAGAATCGGTCCAAATTTCTTTTCTGAAGAGCTTATTATGTGAATCGGCGGGCAGCAAAGTATCTCTTCATTCAAATCACTTTTCGCATTTTGGCGCGCACGGTAAAAACCGCAAGTCTCTAGTCTCGTTAGAAAAAAAGTTATAGGCATTTTTCTCTCGCAGCGGAAAAATGCATTTTCTGGCGAATTTGGTCTGACTTGTAGAACGTCTGCTGACCACATTCCTTAGTTCAGAAGTTTCTCAATCACATTATTCGATAGTTCCTTCAATTCTCCCCGAAATGAGATGTTGGCCACGTTTCTACGCTCTTTGATGACAGAGTTCCAGGCTGTTTAACATTGCAAATATTAACTCATTCGCTTTAATGCTGACTTTTCTCAAAGAGCCACAACAAAAGAAGGTATCTCAGTTAAAAGGA